GCTGACCCTTACCAACACCAAGGGTTTAACAATAGAAGGGAAAACACCTTTAGGGGATTAAATTAATGGAACCAGGTAAACATCTTCTTAGTGATTAACCTTAATGTAAGAAAATCTCAAGTACTTGAGAAATATATGGATAACATGTACTCTTGAGGGTTCTCTGAAATATTTTAGTCAAGTTTCTCACAGGAGCTGGACAATGGTTCATTCAAGGCTGGAGTGTCTGCTGCTGAAGAAAAATCCTCATGCTTTGGCTACAGGATGCACAGGTGACAAGACTGACATTGTTTTGGAGGTTAAGAAACTGCATGTAATTTCTTCTGGGGGGCACAAAAGATTTCTTTTCCTTAGGAAACAACTTTTAGGCTTATTCAAGAGCTTAAACAAATCTCAGTTGACTAGTTTTGTAAAATGTAGTATCACAGAAATTTTAGACTGGAAAAATGTAAACATAGTTTACTACCAATTTGTATTTCACCATAGAAAAACCTTAAAATCATTCTTGTGGAATGATTTCAGTGGCACCGTCAGATGGTGAGTAGTGAGTTTGAAGAAATAAAGCTGGGGCCAGAATATGGAAGGCTGTGAATGCCAACCTAAGGGATGTACACTTCATCAGGTATTCAATGGGAGCCACTGAAAACATTTCAGCAGAAAAATGAAAGATGGACCTGGTTCTCATTCTTGTGGCAGTGATGTGAGGAATGGCTTAAACTTGGGGAAGATGAGGTAGGGAGTGTGAGGTAATAGTCTTTTACTAGAGTGATGACCATAATATATTTAGAAATGGATACAACCAACATTTAAAGAACTGACAGGACCCTGTGAGAGGCTAGATTAAAGAATGAAGAGTGTCCAGTTGGTGACCACTAAGGTTTATGGTGGGGGAATCCCTGGCTGGAATGGAAGAAGGCAGCCACCCCTGAGAAAAAGCTTACTACAGGAGACAAAGCCAGAACTAGAACTCTGATATCCTGGTTCCCCATCCAATTCTTTCCACTATGGCTATTGCCTGATTTGGAATGTTTAGCTGATCTGAAAGACCACAGCCTCCGCAGGCAACCTGATATGGCATAACAAAAATTCAGTTAAATTACTTTGAGGATTTTTTTCTTCAACTATGGTTATACTTCTAGCTTTTGTGCTAAGTAGCTTTGATCTTGGGCAAATCATTTGCCTTTGACATCTTTTACTTTTTATTTCAATTTATTTCTTTTGTTAATATTGCACAGATGGAGTTCTTGTCTCCCACAATAAACAATTTCTTTGAGGGCAGTGATGTGGATAATATGTGGATCTAATTTTACCATTGATTGTTTATAATACCCAAAAAGTTTCTCTGTAAAACAGTGTCAAATTAATGAATATAAATAGTGAGTTACCACTTGTTAGAAACAAAATGAAGTGTTACTAAAAACACAACATAACCTGAACTGTTGACATTAATTTAGGCTAATGGGGAAGCTTCCCGACCTTTTATTAGGCCTCTGACTACTTAAGAACATTGTCTAACATAAGCACCTGAGAGCCACAGCCACAGTATACTTTATCACAAGAGAAGAAAATGTCCCATTTCACAGGAGAACCTTTTTCTCAGGCTTTTTCTTCATCCTTCCTCCCAAAGATTTCATGTGGCAGCAAAGAAGGGCAAAGGGGACCCTGAGAAAGACCTTTCAGTTTTCAAGTTAACACAAAGCATGGTTTGGTTTGGTTTCTGTACGTTTACTGGAGAAAAATGCTGTACACTGAATATTTATATTTCAGGTTTCCTCAGCTTCTCATGATTGATATTACTGGTATTCAGTCCTTACTCCTGTGCAAACTACTTACGGCACTTACAGGCAGACAGCCCACAGAGGAAGGTTTTGGATTCAGAGGATTCTCCCTTTACAGCACTCAGCTTCAGTATAACCTAACGTTCTTGCTCCAGGCACTCTGACCAGCACCCCTCTTTCTGGGCATCCTTAGGTTACAGCCTCCAGCATAGACGGGTAGGAGAGCTAAGCCAGCAGAACAAAAGCAAAACTGAGGAAGGAAGAGAGGAGAGGTCATGAGGACGAGGGAGTATAGTCTGTGACTATTAAACACTGAGATGGCTTTTTTATGTGGTTTGTAAAATGTCTTTGGAGGTAATTCCAAAAGAAAAGTTTCAAAAAAGTTCTAAGTAATACTAGCGTCACTGCAGTAAGTGCATGGCTTCCCAAGGGGACCATTTTAAAGGATAATAATCATTTAATTCTATGAGTTATGACAGATTTGTTTTAAAAAATATTAGAGTTTATTTTTAAATTAAATATAAAAAACACTGTTTAAGTGATGGCTATAACCCACAAATATAAGGAAATTTGTAGGATGTGTGAGTGGGATGGAAACACTTTTTAATTTTACAGTCTAAGGGCCAAATTCAGCACTACATACTTCTGCGTCAGCCATCATTAAAAACTTTGAGGCGGCTGTACACTTGGTGAGAAAAGAGTAGATAAAAAAGAAAAGTACAAATGAATGGCACATGTAATTTCAAAGTAAGCCTGCCTTACAGAATATATGGGTGTTTGGGTGAAGCAGAATGAATGGCCCACTTCAATTTTATATACAGAAGCAGCATGAGAGTAATAGAAGTTTTTATGGTTCAACAGACCTAGTTAACATCCTGGCCTCATCCTTGTATAGCTGAATAACCCTCTACAAATTATTTAACTTCTCTAAGACTCAGTTTCCTTAACTGTAAAATGCCTAGTAAAGTGCCTGGCAAACAGAAGATATTCAATAAGTATCAGTTCCTCTATAAGGGTGTTTTTTTTCAAACTAAGGTATGCACCCCACTGGCAGATTATGAAGTCAATTTAGTAGGTTGCAACCAGCTTATTTTATAAACTGAAACAATAAAAAACAGCAGAGTGCACTGCACATAATGGTAAGTATTGTTCCTTTATGCATATGCTGAGTTTTAATATAAATACATTTTTTACCGTGGGTTACAACCAAAAAGTTCCAAAGTCTCTGCTCTATAGAGAAATTCTCAGATTACTGTATCAAAAAGTCTTTAGGAGTGCTGCCTTTATCAAAATGAGCCTCTATAAATTTTAAGAACTTAAAGTGTTCCTTACGTTCTAACTTGTTGCAGTAAAAGACATCAATCATAGAGAAGATGAATTTAATCTGATACTGTAGGGCATTAAATTCAATTTTAAGATTGGTTTCTGTCTCATATTGAATAATTTATACTTCTAAAAACTTTACAGTTTATATGTATATCATTTATAGTTGATCAAACACCTCTAGAAATTTCTACAAAAAGTTGGCTATTAGGTTCTATTATGGGGAAATGAGATACAATTTCTAACTAATTTTAAATTATAAAATTACTGTAACTTGCCTGAGCATGAAGACTACTGAAGTAATATACCATTCCTGATGCGTAAAAATCAAAGGCTTACAAGAGCACACACAGTGGTGCCCCACACTGGCTCAGTAAAAATGAGAGATCCCAAAACAAATGTGAGCTTCAGTTACAGGCCTCCTCTCTCCTGCAGGTTCTCATGTAGAACCAGCCTGACAGTGTACGTCCCGAGTGCTGTTAAGACGCTGGGCTAAAAAGCACAGCCACTTCTGGGTTGGCAGAGTGGGAATAATATGCAGTGATGAAGACTGGGCCATGGTGAAGGACAGAATACTGGAAATTATAGAATCCAATGATACAGCTGAATCTTGATGGAACTATATTGTAAATTTACAATTTTAGCTGACCAGGCCAGAATGGCCATCATTAGAATCTCCCATGGGACTGAAGTTTAGGAATCTTGTTTTAAATAAGCACCCCGGGTGATTCAGATCCCCATTCTGGTTTGAGAATGTTTGAGAGACACAAGGATCAGAAAATAGAAAAAAGGTGGAGTTCAAAAGTAATTATTCCAACCTTATAAGTATCCAATCTCAAACACTGAACCAGAATCTGACACTTATCCAAAGTACTTCCTTCCTGGTATTATATTAAAGATACAAGTCAGCAGGTAGCAATACTCGATATTTTCCAGTTATTTAATGACGATAAGAAATGGTGCTTTCTTTCTTTGGAATTCATTGGCAAGAGTCAAAAAGTATGAAAGAGAAAGGTCTCTTTAGATTAGATACAGAAGTAAAAGGTAGCAATCAATAAAAGTTATTAAGAGTAAACTCAGCAAGAGAGAAGTAGTGAACCATTCCACTGCCTGATGAATCTGTTTGGCTCCTGAGCAGAGACAGCTCACACCTTTTGTGGTGTGGGTGTCCATTCCTCTGTCCTCAGAAAAGAGTAAAGAGTAAGGCAAAAGGTGGTTCCTTCCTATTTCAAACGACTTGGGGTTACTGGATGAGGCTGCCTGTACTCTTAAATTCTTTTTTTTTTTTCTTTTTTTTTTTTTTTTTTTAAAGATTTTATTTATTCAGTTTTTTTCCCCCCAAAGCCCCAGCAGACAGTTGTATGTCATAGGTTCACATCCTTTTAGTTGCTGTATGTGGGACTCGGCCTCACGTTGGACGGAGAAGTGGTGCCTTGGGGCGCGCCCGGGATCCGAACCCAGGCCGCCAGCATCAGAGCGCGCGCACTTAACCGCTAAGCCACGGAGCCGGCCCTGTTTTTTTCTAAATTTAAAAACCATTTTGCTATTTGAGATAGACATTGGGTTGCACTGGGTCATGCTTGCTGTCAATGTCAAGTGTTGGGATTAGCACCACAAATCCTTCACCAGGACCGACTCTTGGCACCAGGCTTTGTCCACCATCGTTTTGAATGTGAGAAAAGGCAAGCATGAGTGCCATTCGTGGAAAGAAATAACAGCTGTGAAAAGTGAAGGAACGCACAGGAGATGGCAAAGCCTGGAGAAAAGGATGGTAGTAACAGAAGTGAGGTAGAAAGCTAGTGCTCAGCTCCCTCAAGGGCCAGTGGAAAGGACTTAGGGTCGAGAACCCCTGTGTGGCAGGTACATCAAGATGCCCCAAGAAATGATCTGGTGTTTTCCGCCCCTGCTTATTTTTTTAGCTCAGACTTTAACAATGTTGGAAATATGTGGATATTTCTTTCTTTCTTTCTTTCTTTCTTTTTTACCTAGAGGTCACAGGAAAGGATGAACAGAGATGGGAGACAATACAAAAAAGCAAATTATGAGACAAGTCCTCATTACACATGTGTAAAATTCACCCTACAAGTCAAAGAACTTTTCAAAATTACAAGGGAGGGAAGACAGAGGGCACTAGATCTTTGAGGCATTAAGAGATAGGCTGACAGAGCAAGCTTACTGACTGGGTTAATAAGTCTCCTACCACTTGAGATTCTGTGTTATTTAAATGACAGGCAGAAGGAAGAGTTCAGAGAAGCAGCTAGTGTCACAAATTAAGATATTTGAAAGAGAAGTTGGGCCTCTCTTTCCATTTTCTTACATTATTAGTTTCCTTCACCAGAAACTATAGTTGCACCAAACTGCGATAGGGTTCACCAAATGGACTCTGTTGTGTAGTTCACCTGTGCCTCTCGCTAGATCCTGATCTCCCCATTTGACAACAAAGGCTCCTGAACACCCATTCTTTTCTTTGCTAACAGGCCTAAATAATCTCTTGTATTTAGGAGATAAATAAGCATATTTGTAATATGCTTACCCTTAGGATCTCCAAGTCAGGGTTACGGAAGAAACTATTGTTCCGTAACCCAACATGTCCACACATCTCAAGTCCCTATCAAAGCTATGGGTTCAGTTTTCATATTTCCGGGTAGAAAATCTGCTCCCTGGCAGTCTTTAAACTTGACCTGACAAACATTATGCACCCTCAGCCCAGGCTCCTCAATCTCTAACATCTCCATTAACACCCAGCAAACAAGGAAATATATCCACTTATCACCGTTCAGTCCCACTTGAGCATCTGCAGCCACTATTTTGATATAATCATATTGAAAAGCTGACTGAGTGTCCAACAGCAGCAAAGGTCCTCATTAGGATAGATGTGTGGTACCAATAATACTGAAGTTTGGTTTTTAACTGCATTTTTTGTCAGTTTGGCTGGGAAGATCTGGACAGCTGGAAGCGAGCTTCTCCATCATTTTCTGTTTCTTTCTTTGTATCAGTTTCCCTCCTGTGAAGCCCAACACCCCACCACCAAGTGCAGCTGCAATTCCTGCCACTTTGAAGCCTGCAAGGAGGCCAATCGGACCCCCCACCACTCCTCCGATGAGTGCACCTGCCACAGGCAGAGCTGCCAGCTTGTATTTTGCAGCCTGTAAAAAAAAGAAAAAAAATTCAATTTAGAAATTGAGTTGAGAATATCCACCTGTGGTGATGTGCATTTTCCTCTCATTGCTCCTGGCAATGCCTCTTTAACTCTTAGTACATAATTAAACTTAGAGATTGTACTGAGGTTGGGCGGGGCGATGGGTATTCCACAGGTACTATAGTCCCTCCAGATCTCAGAACTTAGAGAAATGAGCTACAGAGAGTGGCCTGCTACAAATTGATTTTACTCACAAAACAATCAATCCACTAACTATCTAGCTGGCTTATTTATACAGTTTCAGCAGCCACAGATACCCTCAAAGCTTTTATGTTGCCAGAGATTATTCTGTGCTATGTACCTGGGGTTAACAGCAACATTTTATGGAAAATAGATGGTCCCACTCCATGCATGCTGTCATGTCCTTATACTTCTGCCCCTACTGGATTCTGGCAACCCTCTTTAGTCCTCTCCCTGAACCTCTGCAAACACTCCCCTGTAACACCAAATGCCTTATAGTGAGGCTTAGGTTTATTCTCTCTCTGAAAATATTTCTCTCCTGACAGAATGAATCTTAGAGTAGAATATTACAACAGCCATTGACTTCTTGCGCTACCTATGTATCATTTCTCCTTATTTCCTTAATTGCTGGTTCCCTCAACATTAAAGAGAGCAGATCAATTGGGTGAATACTAGCAATTCCTGGGAGCCAGAGTACCATTGATTTGTCAGCGGGAGCAGAATCTTACCTTCCCCAAGTTTTTGGTTCCCACTTCAACATTCACAGCAGCAGTGTTGACATGGTCTTCAATGCTGTCAATCTTCTCCTGCTGAGACTAGATGCAAAGGAATTATGAGTGAGTGCTCCTGCTGGGGAGCAGCAGTCAGCCAATACACACTATTTTAATTCCTGTAATCAGGGCCCCGTGTACTGCAGCCTTGTAGTCTTAATAGTGGTTCAATAATAGCATCTGATAAACCATGTCAAAAGTACAAATTCACTTGTACGCAAAAAAGGTGACAATTATTAGGTAATACAAGGGTGGCACCTTTATAGGAAAAAGCATCTCACACTAAAATTCATTCAAACATAACAAACATATTGTTCTCCAAATGAATCTGCTTTCCAGGAGAAAAGAAATGCAAAATAAGTATTTACATGTCATGTTGGGTTTGATGGAAAAAAACAAAAACAGATTCAAACAAAAAAACCTCCGTAACATCTTCTTTGAAGATTCAGTTTAAAACAGGCAAATTTGCCTTAGGAGTAAAACACCCTTGATCCAATAAATACAAATTATTTTGTTTTAGGAATAGGAATACAATACGGTTTGATCTGCCATGAAATCTTTCCACTTGTGATATGCAGTAGGGAGTAGTGAATGAATTTACTGTCCTGTGTTTTACACCTGTATACTTTAATACATTTTAAAATCATGACAAGTTAAAATGTTTCAGATCAAATATATTACTAAAGCATTCTACATAAAATGGCAACACCTGCACTGACACCCAGCAGTTGTGACTCATGGACTCGCTGGGTAGAAGGAACGTTTAGGTCACTGAGTGTGATTTCCCCTCAGATGTGTGAGGCCCCACCACAACATTCTGACAAGCGGTTACTGAGCCTCTGCTCAAACACCTCCAGTGTCAGGAACTCACTACTTGCCACAGGAACACATTCCCATTTTTAAATCAACTTTATTTAGACAGAATTTACACACAATAATATGCACCTATTTTAAGGGTATAGTATGATGATTTCTGACAAATGCATAAACCCATGTAACCACCATCACATCAATATATAGACTAGTTTTTTTAATTCACAGAAAAAAAGATCCCAGCTAAATGCCAACTTCACAAAAATGATTGTGAAAAAATTTAATCCTGAAGTATCTGATTGTCCTTATATAACTGATGTCTTCACTTATACTGAAGCAGATATAACTAACACTCTTCTAATTCCAATCATCGTTTCACTTGAGAACATGAAACCCAAACACAGCTAATTTTTTCCTCACAGTTGCTTCCTATCAGCATTACTGACATTCCTTCCCTCTCATACACCAAGCATATACCGTTTCACTGTTAGACCTTTGATGGTATCCCTTTATTCCTATATTCTCCACCACTATCTTGACATCTCCAACACAATCTCTAAAAAAAGTCCTTTATAAGTCTTCCTTCTAAGATCTCTGTCAGAATCAACTGGAAGACTTCGTAAAACACAGATTGCTGGGTCCCAACCCCAGAGTTTGATTCAGTAGGCTTGGGGTGGGGCCTGAGAATCTGCATTTCTAACGAGTTCCCAGGTGGTGCCAATGCTGCAAGTCCATGATTCTCACACTTTAAAAACCACTAGTATATATTCACAATAGGATTAAGGGCACAACCTTTGGTCAGATGTCCTGTGTTCAAATCCCAGCCCTAGCACTGTGGGCCCTTGGGTAAATTACTCAAGCTCTCTACGTGTCAGTATTCTCATCTGTTAAGTGAGGATAATGACACTTCTACCTCACAGAGCTGAAGTGAGGACAAAATGAGATAGCATCTGTAGAGTATGAGGGGAAAAATAGAAAAAGTCATACTGATCTTCCCAAGACAGCTTAACTCCCATCATTCTTTTCTATCAAAAAATATATTCAACTTTTTCCTATAATGCTTGAAAATTCTAGGGCACTAAAATATTAGACCTCACCTAGCATTCATTCACTCAAATTTTATTTTCCTCAGACAATAAAACTTCTTTAATGTTAGCTTTCTTTTTCCAAGACATAGAAGCATAACCGTCAGCACTAATAATATCCGACTTGTCTGGATTTCTGACACCCTATCATTGTTTCTATTTGGGACATCCCCAACACTTTCCATTCTTGCCTGAAAGTCTATGCTGGCACATAAATCACAGAGGTAAAACTCCATCATCAACCTCCATATCTTGATGAGTTGAGGGGTAGAGGGAAAATAGCCAACTGTCTCCTTTCTCTCAGCCCCAAAATCATTCCATCAAGATGGCAGAGCCTGCCAGGATTATTGCCATTTCTATACTCCACATGTGATCTCACGGCCTCAGTGAAATATTTTTTAATGCTCCTTCCAAAAAAGGTTGGATCTTGCAGCTCTATGACTTTTTTAAAAAATAAAGTTAAATTTAAAAATTTTAATATTTTTTCATAAAAATCCTTCACAAAAAATGGAGAAAGGACAAGGCCAAATGAAGCCTGAGATCACTGATTACTTGAACTGCAATGCTTCCCATCACTGCAATCACCAGTATTTGATGAGGCCTGTTTCACCCTGGGGAGCAGCCCACACCCGTAAGTACTTATTCACTGACAACAGGAAGCTTAGTTAATATGGGCAGGGAGAAAAGGCAGACAGCAGACCAGCCTCTATCCTGGGATCAACAGTCACCCCTCATTGTACAGATCTGCCTCCTTCTTCTCTATTTTGCTTGGTTTGAATCCCAAACTTTGCCCATATCTTCAAATTCTGCTTCCTGAGTAAGGACTCAGTGGCACAGCAATTACGGTTATGCACCAAACTGGTGTCAGAGTTGTCAATCACTGTCTAAGGAATGCCAAACTAGACTCCATTCAGAGCTGGATCTGGTCACCACTTGTCCACTATGTCCTCGGCTCTTTATGCGGGGCCAAACCACACACACACAAACTTACCCCAGTACAGGAAACCAAGCTCCTGACAATGACGGTGGCTCAGGAACCTCCTCACCTCTATCTACCAACCTCCACTTTTTGCTTCTGATTTGCTTATGTTTGCTTTCATCTGCCTGGGCCTCCCACGTTTGACAATCTTCAAACTCCCATCCTGACATTTTATACTTTGGCACCTCATATATGTTTTTAGCATCCCTTTAACAATGAGCTAAACCATTTATGAGAGACACTGTAGTGTTTCTCAAACTAGAGTAACATATAGACTTTTCCCTTTTTAAAGGAAAAGAATTCTCAAAAGACTCTAAGAATATGTCTAAGAATTTTAAGAAACACTGAATTAGGTCCTCTTACTTTTCTGAAAAAGTAAGTGAATCTTAATGAGCATTTATAGGAGCACCTAAGATTTTGAAGAAAATGTGATTTATTAAGTTAATATTTGTCAAGTAGAGTGCAATTTGGGCATTTGAAGTCAAAACTAATGAAGAATTGTTTTTCCCTTGAATGCTTGTTGTGGACACTTGTAGGCCCAGCATTCTCTGTATCAAGCAATAATAATGCATTCAACAAATCCATCCCGAAATCCTTTAACATCCATAAAAATGTTCTCTCTTGGAGAGTTTTGCTAGAACTTGTGTAGTTTTATTAATGTGCTTGGAAAGCTACAGGTTTCTTTAAGAAGCTAACGCCAGAACTCTAGGTATTTTCCTTTATTTCTGACTCTCAATTCCAGCCTGCTTTCAATGCCAGCTCTAGTCTTAGAGCTTGACCAATCCAGATAACATTGAGCTATCCTGGTTCTGAACTCCAAAGGTATGTAATCTATACTCCTTAATTATATGCAATTATATACACAGAAAAGCCCAGAAACAAGCATACAAACACTATGATATATAGGCAGAGTAAGGATTATATTGGTCTAGAGTAGGCGGTAAACAGAGTAGGTAAGTAAAATGTTGACATCAAGGGATTCAGCAATAGGAAAGGGACTTAGGAACGACAGTACTAAAATGTCTAAAGGTAATGGTGGTGGCGAGAGTAGAATTCTAAGCAAAGAGCCAAAGAGGGAATAAAATAAGGGAGGAACAAAAGCAGGAATGCAGTTGGAGTCAGTGGAAAAGAGGATGGGAAGTAACGGACATTATCTCATTTAGTCTTCCGATTAATTTTACAAAGCTCATTGTTGTAAAATAACATCCCAAAGGTCACATAGGCAATAAGTGGAGGAATCTGATCTAATTCATTACAACCCAGTTTTTATGCATCCAGAGTAAAACTGGATTAAAAAAGCCATAGGGAATAAGGCAAAAGGTAGACAAAACTGGACCAGCAGCAAGAGCGACTAGCCCACAGTTCTTTCAATTCCCCTTGACTAGAAATAGGGCTGGTTTCACAGTTAGAGGAAGAGAAGAGGGCACTTGAGAAATAAAGGCAGAAGAAGATCAAGCAGGGTGCTTAGTAGATATTAACTTATTAACATCTACTGGACCACACTTGGATCTCTCAGTGGCTTTGAAGGTTCTTTTTTATTGTGGTAAAAATATATACAACATAAAATTTACAATTTTAACCATTTTTAAGTATACAGTTCAGTGACATTAAGTACATTCACCATGTACTTGCACACAACTATCACGACTATACTATAGGCTCTTTTTTATACTATTCTCTATTCTTCATTGAGCTCAGCACAGTACTATGCACATAGAAAGTGCTCCATAAACACACGGTTAATTTGTTTAGATACTACGTCCATGTGATGATAATGAGAGGATGTGGTCACTCTGGTTACGTTCCCAAGTCATTTGGTGCCTAAATGGAGCTTCTGTGAGTCCTTGACCATGAGGTCATGAGAACTCCAGTCACCCTGGGAACAGAAATCAGAGGTTCTCCTTTGAGCTTTTGCCTAATAGCATTCTGTCTCATGTCCTTACACAGATTATTATAAATAGGACATTTGTACAGAGCTATGGCTATAGCCAAAGTCTTCCTGCACGAATCTTCCTTAGATTAGGGGTTAGGAGCTGCTTACGTAACCTAATTGGATATGGCCACAAACCCTTAGTTTTCCTTTTAAGTGTATCCCATCAGAAGGGAAATGTACTTGTCCTGAATGAGAAGAACTTTGTACATGTTTAGTTTGTTTTTTAAATCAACTTTATTGAGGTATAATTTACATACATTATAACTCATACATTTTAATGTGTACATATTGATGACTTGACAAATGTATATATTTGTGTAATCATACATTATAAATTTTACAAACTACATTAGATCAGAGATTATGAGTTACAATAATTGAATAAATCTTGATTCTAAAAACAAAAATATTTTGGGATTCTTGTATCATTCCCTTTTATATGCAAATATATTAATATATTGTATAGATACCTATTCTAGAAACTACAATCATTTTGCTTTTTCTGACTTAGAGGCATCAAAAAAGAAAAAAGCTTTAAACAATTTACTGCATTCAATTTTAGCATTACATTTTAAGAAAAATCCACAAACTAGAAAACAAGCAGAGTAAGGGGCTGGTTCTGAAAAGCCTAGAAATCATATTCTAGAAGGAACACACTGGAGAGTCAAGGGTCCTTAAGAGAAGAAAATACAGTGAGGTGGGGTAGGTGAGGAAAGATAATGTTGGGTGTCAAAAAGTTGAGAAATTTATATGGAAAAAAGACAAAACTTGTTCAGTATATGGCTCCAGAGGGCAAAAGTACCAGAGGGAAGTTATTACAGGGCAGAGCCCACTTTACATAAGGAATAACTTGTAAGAGTTAGAGCCTCCAAATGGAATGGCTGAAGTAGCAAGTGTCCCTGCACTGCAACTGTTCACAGATGGGCAAAAACCATCTATCTGAGAAGCTGGGCAAGAGTAGGAGGATTAGCCTAGTCCTCTTAAGTCCTTTCCAATTCCAATTCTGAGATTGTGAGATCTAGGAACTTGTTACACTTTAAAGCCAGGTGTCAGGGAAACCATAACTCAAAGATGTGCAACCCTCAAATCATGGTCTGATCAAGAACAAAGAACTAAACCCAGAAAGAAGCATAAGCAGAAACAGGCTTGAGCCTGTTATGTACGTACATATACACACACATACCCATATATCCAACCTTCCCATAATTCCTGGGAAGGAAAAATAATTTTAAAAAATAATGACAGAAAATCTATCTTTCCCATCAAATCTACTTTATGTTCCCTAATCAATGTTAACAGTATCACTGGCTACCCGATTATGCAGAATAAAGCCTTAATGTTTCTTATCTTTGACTCTTTCGTCTTCCTCCAATTTCTACTAAGTGTATCCCAGAAACACCTCTCAGCTCTCCTTTATCTTTTTACTTGCATTGCCATTGCTCTCAGTGAAACTCTTACAACTGATTCCTAACTAGTTGTCCCACCTACAATCTCCACCTCTCTAAGGCTATTATTCACTCCGCTAACAGTGGTCTTTCTGAAACACAGACTGGATCACATCACTCTAACCTGCTCAAAAATCTATATTGGCTCCTACAAAGTAAAGTCCAAATTCTTTGGTATGGCCTTCAATGCTATCTCAACCTGGCCCTCACCGTCTCTGCTTTGCTTGCCCACGGTCCCTTGTGCTTTGGTTACACCGCAGTACCTGTCATTCCCAGGAGGCCACACACTTCTCTACTCCACAGCTTCGTTCAGCTGTCTTCAAATGCACTCCCACCTGTGGACATTTTACTCAATTTTCAAGACTTAAGCCAATGCTACCTATCTGGTGAAGCTATCCTTAACGCTTCCACCTCACAACCCCTGCCTCTCTCCCGTGGAATTAAATGCTTCTCCTTGGAGCTGATAATGCTTCTTTTCAATACCTTGTTTTTGCATTTAACAATCATGCTTGAAATTTCAGTTTTAGGGGTCCAAGCTTATCTTCACCCACTGTAAACTCCTGAAGGCAGAGAACAGGCTTCATTTATTTCTTTATCCAATCTTGTCAGATCGCCAATGCCAAGGATCTAACATAGTGCCTTTTATATAAAAAGTGCTTAATACACGTTTATTGAATTGATCTGGAATTTGGGGACAGTTAGACTTCTATCCATAGCTCAATACTAATTTTAAAAATTGTGACTCCTATTAAATTTCTAATCAAAAGCCTAGTGATGGATAAAAGCCTCTTATCTATTAATGTAACATCTCTGAGCCAATAACAGTTATATACTTACATTTACTAGGAGAGAGAAATCAGTGACCAGTTGGCTAAGTTCAATTAAGTCCTTAAAAAGAGAGAGAAAGAGGAAGTTACTTACTTTTATGCCTCACAGCTACCAAAAGGAAAATAATTTTTAACATACCGCTTCTAAAGTTTCCCATGATTCCGCAGCATTTTGATCTCGAGGAATTTCAGGCAACGCATATATGTGAGTCATACTCTGAGGATCAGTTTCAGCTTCAGTAGTGTGAAATGCTCCTGGATGAACAGAGCCTCATGTTTAGAGTTTATTTGCTTTGTTAGAAGGCAACAGCATTTCCATAAAACAACTGCCATGTAAAATACTTACTAATTGAATTCAGACTAAAAAGTAAATTGATTATTCTATAAAAAATAGCTTTACCTATGAGCAGATTTTTCCCAGGTTAGTTAACAAATATTTTTTTAATTATTCTACAAAGCCATCTTAAAAAATGGCTACAAATACTATCTACCCAATCTGAATAACTAAGGCTAGAAGCGGAAGAAGCACCAAAGGAGAACTATTCTATTTGGCCAGTGTTCCATGAAGAGATACCCAGTAGAAATAGGTTTAACACTTGTCATTGCTAAATCATTAACCTCTTCTTTGGCTATTTTAGTAATAAATATCAGATTCACAAGGTGTTAAAAGTAGAGAAGTGATATGTTTTTAGCAATGAAAATCAGTCATTTTTGGTAACGATAAATTTGTCATCAAACTGACACCTCTTACCATATGTATCTTTTTGTACATCTGTCACCCTTCTTCTCCACAGGGTCATTTTCTGGCCTATGCCTCCATTGTTTCTACATCTTTTCTGAATTTTAAAAAGTCATCAACCCAGTAAGGCTTTCCTCATTAAACACTGCTATGATGATGAATTCATTTATGCTCCACCCTCCATCCTCAGGTCGGTCTTCCTTATTTCCTTGTTTTGGTTTTACCAATCATTTATTCATTAAACTGATATTTATAAAATGCCTACTATATGCCAATCAGTGTGCTAAAGTGCTGGGGACACTACGGTAAACCATAAACACAGTTCCAAGGAGTGAACATAGTACAGTGGTTAGGAGTATGGCCCTAGACAGAAAGACTGGGGTTAGAATCCTGGTTTGCCTATTTACTAGCTCTTTGACTTGGGAAAGTATTTCATTTCTTTGACTTATTTTCCTCATTTGTAAAATAAGGTGATATTTACCTTGCACTATGCCTGGCTTATATATCAAGTACAAGTGGTTAATAAATAGTTACTACTACTACTGCAATTGCTACTGCTGCTATTATTACTGGAGCCTACTATACAATGTGTGACACAGACATGTTAACAGGCAAGTTCAGCATAGTCTGATAAGAACTATGACATGGGTAAGTATGGAATGCCATGTGAGCACAGAAGAGAGGTATTTAACCCAGACTTGTGGAGGAACGAGTGGTCTGAGCAGGTTCTGAAGCTGAAGCCTGAGGATGAACAGAAACTATCTGGGTGAACTGGGGCAAGGGTGGAGGGAGAAGCAGAGAGTATTCAGGTCAGGGAGAATAATATGTGCATAGGTTTGGCAACTAAAAGGAGTTCAGTGTAGCTGAAGCATAGACTATGACAAGAGAAAAGCAAAGGTTGAGGCTGGAAATCTAAGGTGACATTATTCATGGCATTGTAAACTATGTTAAAAGTTTTTTGTCTTTCTCATAGGATCAATATGGAACTATTAAAAGGATTTGGAGACTATTGGGAAGCTGGAGGGTGCCATAATCAGATTTCAGATTTAGAAAGGGAACCACAGTTACAGGGGGAAGAACAGATTAAGGATGGAGTTGAAAAGTGAAAAAATTAGAGAGTGAAAAATGAGTTGGAAGGCTCCAGGACAGTGGCAGTGGAAAAGGAACGAAGAGATTTGAAGGTCTACTTTCCTTTTGTCCCCCCCTTACTTCAAGCTCAAAACACCTAGCACTTTAATATTTTCTGAGCACGCATTATGTATTGTGTTGGGATGAAAAAGTGAGTAATATAAAGTAGCTGCTCTCATGGAACTTACATTCTAGAAGAGCTAGACATACAAAGAGATGAGCTTAAAATAGTAAGAGAGTGCACTGTTATCTAGATAAATAGATATACACACATATAGTTATTTTGTGGCAGTTCCAAGCTAGGGGTGGCATCTGACCCAGCTGGTGTGGTGTGCAGTTTATAAAACAGCTTCCTAAAAAACGTGATCTTACTAGGCAAAGATAGAAATATAAATTCTAGGTAGAGAGACCAGTATGAAAAAGGCCCTTAAAGAAGAAACAATATAGCTTAACATAAAATCAGCAGTTTGGTCTTGTCAAACCATAAAGTAAAAGACATAGAGTTACTAGTATTAAGATATTACAGATGGTTAGGAGGGGCCTTGCAGGGCAGTTAAAGACTTTGGACTTTATCTAGCAGACAGTGGAGAGCTACTAAAGGGTTATAAGCAGGGAAATGACATAGTGACATGTGACACCTGATCTATTCCTAAAAGTAAGTCATTACAACTCCAAGTTCATCTCTTTATTTCTTTTTTCATCCTAGCCTATAACTGAAATATATTTTATAAAACTGCATTACTATTTTACTTTCAAAATTTATTACTGTTTTACCTCTCAAGGGAAAAAACCTGTTTGAGTTGTTTAGGAAGGGCATAGTCACTTGACTAAAAAGTAATCTGTAGCCTTATCAGAATTGATAGTGTTCTTTTAATTTTAAATCGTAAGTTATCTGAAGGCACTTCCTTATCTTAAAGGAAGAGTAAAAGTATCAGATACAGAGTAAGTTTTACATTACAACATTATGGCAAGTATCCAATATTTTAAAAGCTCTCTATGATTTTTACAAATGCTTAAAAGAGTTATTTACCGTATGTCCTAAGTTATCACGTAAAGACACTTTCATTTTCATTTCAATCAAGATAAGTGAATTACTCTAAGACCTTTCTTCCACTTAATATTCCTATTGTAATAAGAATTCCAACTTCTTTGAAAGGATAAGAATTCCAACTTCTTTGAAAGGATGATGAGTAATGACAACTTCATTATAATTAGACCAAATGTAAAGCAGAACTTTATAAATAAAACACCCACTCTAAAGATTTTTTTAAGCCATAACCTTTGTACTATTAGAGAAGATTCAAATGAAGTATGCCAGGGTGTATAACAAAATGAAGAGAGATTATCATACATAAATTCTTGATCTAAAAAATGAAGGGATGGGAAATATTTGACATTTTAAGCAAACATAAAAGATTTCCCTCAGTAAAAAATAAGAAACGTTTAAGTCATTTATGTCTCACTTGAAACCAAAGTGCGTATGCATCTTAGTTCAAATGGAGTCTTAGAACAAAGAAATCTGTTCTCTTCCATGGAAAATTCTGCTGTAAACTTACAACTCTGAACATCACTAATCAATGCGAGGCATGACTAATAATTAAGAAAGGAAACTCTTTAATTTCTACAACTTCCGTAATTTGTTTATACCAGTTTGTTTTAAAAATCACTACCTCAGTGATCATCCATTGATTTTAACTTTTACAAATTGCTACAGACATGATGAGGCAAAACACTGAGACAGATTAAAGCTGCAGGAAAGAAGGCTGAGGAATTCTTATCCTGTCCACAGAAGTCAAAATTGCTATTGTTTTATATGACATAATAATTTCAGATAGTTTCAGCCACATGCAAACAACTGCAGGTGTAAAGGGTTCATAGAAGATATATATATATATCACTTACCACTGTTGTTCAAACTCCAGTGTTAAAATCTTATTATTGACTATAAACTCAAATAACCATTAAGATATTTTTAGTTGAAGTGAGAAATAAAGTTAATAACAGGGACATAAGATTTTTCCCTTCTCTCTATACGTCCAAACATACATACATACACTCACACATTCATTCATTCCTTCTCTCTCTCTCCATATTTCATGATGGGCAATGATTCTACTAAGAATTACAACACAATATATATAAACTTTATAACATTAGGAAAAGTTTCATTATAAATCTAAATTAATTCAAAAGCATTTCCTGAATTTTTTCATGTTCTGACAGCTTAAAAATAGTTAAATTAATTTACTGATCATCTACATAAAATCTATCTATCAAAATAAAATGAATTGTAAGTCAGGGCTTAACTTAGCTGCAAAGGAGGATTTTTAAGAAAATTAAAACCAATAGAAAACACATCTTCTGAATAACACACAAAACCATCTACATGTTTCACAAAACTGTTCAGTACATGTATACACCTGTGATAAAATCTACTATTTCATCAAATTCAACATGCTGGTCTGAAGTTTCCAGCAGTTTTATGATTGGATTCTTTTCTTTTGTGAATATTTCTTTAAAATGTAATAAGATTCTGTTCCTACTGCGCTAGTGAAGTGTGTGTGTTGGATGGTGAGTAAGAAAAGACAAAGATGGAGAGAAGCACTGATTCACTCTGTATCACATGATGCATCTTTCTAAATACAAATCAAATTTGTGGGCTCATCACTTCTCTCGGTGGGAAGCAATATGCTAAAAATGAAACTAGACCACAAGCGAGACCGAAGGAGTTTCTCAGATCAAGCAAGAATGGCAGAGAAGATGTGCTTTAGGAACTCTCAGAATTTGGACAAAAGAAATGGCAAAATCATCACAGCTTCCTCCTAAACTTAATAAGCTTCTTTCATTCTCCAAAGAACATAAACCTCCCTATTATACTTGTTATTTCTATTTGTAAATGAAAAACTATTTTTGTATTTTGATCTCACTCATGGAAATGTGGCAACATTGCTCCTGAATCTCTGGTGATGTTTCCAACCAATTTATTTAGAATCACATTGAATTTTTAAAGGAAAAAGTATTTTAAGGCACTTAACTTCTATGCAAATCAAACACATTTTTCTGTATAGGCTGTCACTACTATAATGAGTATCTAAAGCAAAAATAAGGACAAACCAGAGAGTACAAGATAAAAACATGTAGAATGACAGAAGAGTCTATAGCTAGAAAAAGACCACACATGGAGCAAACCCAATTCCTACCCCACTATTAAAGTCTTATGTAAATTAGTTGTTTTCTTTTCATTATTCTTCTTTTTTCCCATCCTCTCAGTTATTTGTTAATAATATTTCTGGATTTAAGGCAACCCAGTAGAAACTCTCACATTCCGTGAAATGGTCAGGTACCTGGTGCAACAGTTCCTTTTAACTGCTTGATGTTGGCAATGGATTCAAAGTCAAAGCACAGTCTGACCAGCAGATCATTCAGAATTTGAAATTCTGCATACTGTTTTAGGTATAACTTAGATATTTGATTTTATAAATGGAATGATTGTCTCAATCAAATCAGCACTACTTACAGAGATTTAATTTTGTAGATTCTCCTGGTGGCAAGTGATTAAATCTTTAACCAATCTGGTGTTCCATGAATTGAGAAGTTTGAAAATCAGCAGAGTTAGAAAATGACTTTCACCCACTATTTCTTGTCCCTCATCCTCTGGCTCTGTCCCAATCTTTTTCATTTCCTCTGTACACATGCTTCCTCAAATTTTGCCAGTATGTTTTTTTTTTTTTTTTTTTTACACCAGTCAGCTTCCTACAACGAAGTTAACTGCCACCAAACTGGGTAAATTGCCTTCTTCTAATAATCATCCAATTCCTCTGATGATATATAAACCCAACTTTGTTGAGCCCAAACAGTCCTACTGGTAGAAACACAAATAATGCAATAATAAAATGCAAATTAAAGCAAGTATTAGAATGGTATCATAGTGTAAGAAAACTCTCAGATAGAACTCAAAATTTTTGTTTGCTAGGGAATTGCTGGTGATGGGCAATTCAAAGCTAAATAGCAAAAGAGATTGATGCCAGCGACTCTTTCCAGAAAATTCAGCATATCCTCACTGTTATTACTGCCATCACTACTGTCACAATGTCTGGGTGGATAAGATGGCCCCTTAACCACGTGGAGCTATAAAGTCCAGTTTCCCTAAACATGCACATAAAGTATCAATTTGCACTAAATGATAAGAACAGCTTTCAGCCTCATCAAAACTGTGGTGATAATTATATATGAACAGAATAATGTAAATAGTAACTACAAACTATCAAAAAGCATTCTTCCCAAATACTCTTCAACCAAAGCTTGAGTGCTAACATTTCCTTCTTCCCAAAACAACACTTTAGGTACCAGTTATCCACAGAGTGAAGGGACTATAGGACATCTTAAATTACAAAACTGTCTCTAGAAAGATATTTATTCATTCATATTTATAAAACATTTATTAATGGCCCACTATGTGCCAAGCAGCATGTACTATGTGCTAGGTACTAAAGATAAAATAAAAGCAAGATTACCCAGAAAGTCTGGATGATGGCCTAAATGTTTCTTCTAATTTTTTTTTCCTGTAAATTACTGGATCATTAGCACTGAAAATCTAACGTTAAAAATAATCTGGTTTTGGAGACAGGGAGAGGTACAGGAGCCTCCTATGTAAACGAAAAGAGGAAAACTGGACAGGTATAGCCATCTTTCAGATTCTACTCCAATTTGTAATTTATTTATACCCTACCTTTTCCATAAAGATTCAAGGCAGCTTAGAATATACATAAAATGTAACAAGATGGCGTAAATTAAAAATAAAAGAGAAACTCTAAAACAAAGACAAAAAAACAAGGTCAGCAATTATAAAATGACGCCAGGATAGTTTAAAAATTTGGCGTTTGGTGGTTAAAAAATTCGGATTTAAGCTTTCTAGTATACATCTCAAGTAAAGAAATCTTATCAGTTCTGCCCTTCAATACCCATAAGATTAAAAAAAGACCAACTGCTTTGAAGTACTACTATGAATTAAACCAAGAATTTTTCTTCAGGGTTCCTTACAAAGACATCAGTATAGTATAATCAACAATTATCAATTATATCCTTAGAAGACAAGTTATCCTCATAATGACAAGTTTCATGGGCTGTTTCTTAGAGTATCACTTCATAAAAGTTGATGGTATGACACCCAATGCAGACTTTTTTTCATATTCTCACTTAAATTCAGAAAACTGGGCTGAGAGACAGATCTAACACTACTGTGAAAATCATAATGCCCTAGAAATAAACGTGCCTGACTAGGCCACCCCTGCACCTAGAGATGAGAGAGGAATACTCTGCAGACAACGATGACATTCTCTTTAGAAAATATTTTAAAATTTATTTTCCATATGCAGACAAATAGTACTTGAAACCCTGAAGTTCCACTCTACACAGCATAGCCTCAAAAGATTTATCCTGAAAAACTTCTAGGGTATGCATTTCCAGGCACACTCAGGGTCCAAGAATTTAGCATATTGGAATAGAAGGTGATCCCCGGAGACTTAAATATTATCTGCAATATCTATACAAGGAGGTGAACTTATGATCAAGAATAAGACTTAGTACATTACCGCCAACAGTCATGGATCTGGTCAGAGAAGGCTGTAATAAAGTTTCTTCATCATTAAATTGTTTCTTAAGTTCTTCTACAGATTCCAGATGGAGTTGGAGAAATTCTGCTGTTGCTGCTGAGGCTTCTTCTTTAACAGGATCTATCATTCTCTTCAGAAGTCCTAGATCATCCTTTTGGACTTTCAAACAAAGCTTCTCCATTTCTCGAATATTGGAGCGGAGTTGCTATAAAAGAAAAAAGAATCATTGAAGCCACCACCTCTTACCATAAAATATCTTTATTTTCAGAGGTAATTTGTGATAATGGTTGTGAATGAAAATGATTACAAGTATTCTCTACGATAGAAGGTACACATAATACTTTTCTACATTTCACATTTCTGGCCAAATCCAGCTTCTTTTAGAACTCACATCCTCACACTTTGAATTTATTTAGCATTTTTTTCCTTCACTAAATGTGATTATTACAAAAGTAACAAATGTTCTTCATAATAAATCAAACACTACAGAAACACATCAAGAAAAACTCAATGATTTCCCCACTTCACCAATCCCACCACTTCTCTTAACCCAGTCCTTCCACACATTTTTAAAGGATTTTGAAAAAGAATGAGTATTCTATCATTTAAAAATAGTGTCCCATGGGGCCGGCCCGGTGGCGCAAGCAGTTAAGTGCACGTGCTCCGCTGCAGTGGCCCGGGGTCCGTCGGTTCGGATTCCAGGCGTGCACCCACACACTGCTTGGCAAGCCATGCTGTGGCGGTGTGCCATATAAAGTGGAGGAAGATGGGCATGGATGTTAGCCCAGTGCCAGTCTTCCTCAGCAAAAAAAGAGGAGTATTGGCAGATGTTAGCACAGGGCTGATCTTCCTAAAAAAAAAAAAAAAAATCATTAAAAAATAAATAAATAAAAATAAAAATAGTGTCCCAAAGAAACAAATAAATAAATGAGTTTAGCTGCACATTAGACCCAACTCAAGAAAGACAGTAAACTAGAAACCAGATATGAAGAAACTAAGTAAAAAAACAAACAAACAAAAAAAGTAAAAAAAAAAAATACAGAAGAGAAGGTAAGCAACCTAGAGGATACAGCTGGAGAAGGGTACAACAATATACATATATTTAGAATCCTAGAAGAAAAGGACAGAAAATAAATTTCAATAGTAATAACAGAATTTTCCAAAAACTGAAGAAAGACATCAATCCACAGATTCAAAAAGGTCAATGAATTCTGAGAAGAGTAAATAAAAAGAAAAGCACATTTAGCCAAAAAAGAAAAAAAGAAAAGGTGTGGGAGAAAGATGTGTCAAAAGGAGCTCAAAAGGAACTAGAGACAATACAATTTCTTGCAAAATAGTTCCACCACCTCGGAGGCAGCACTGCCAATGTTGCACATGCCGCACGTGCCTTTCAGACCAGATGTGTGTTCACCGTGTGTTATATAACTTCTGATTCCTTCACCTAATAGGCCTACTCCAGTTTTTTTTTCTCCAGTCAATCACATCCTGGGATCCAATGTATAAATCCAATACTGCATGTTTTATGCATGACTATTCTAAAGGATCTTATTTTGTGTACTACATGTATTATAATAGTGTATAATGTTATATAATGTAAAAAGAAAAATCTATGTAGAAATAATGCAACCAACTACCCAAGTGTCATACCAATAAAAACACCAAATAAACCTTGAACAAATAAACCCAAAAGCGAAGACAAAAAAAAAGGCAGTGCTGCCCCCAGAAGACCAGAATAAAGACCAGACAAAGAAACAATAAGGTTATAATAAGACTTCTCAAAGCAACAATGAAAGCTAGGAGACAGCAGAATGATATATTCAAAATATGGAAAGAAAATTACTATCAACCTAAAACTCAATACCCAGCAAAAATATCCTTCAAGACCAAAGGTAAAATAAAGACATTTTAGACAAAGAAAGAAAGAAATGCAGAGCATTAAAATATAGTAAAAGTGTAGGTAAATCGAGGTGACCAGTAACTAGACTAAAACAATAATAATAATGTCTTGGGGATTTTAAATATATATATAAAGTTAAAATACATAAAAATCACATTTAATTTGGGGGCACATATAGAACTAAAATATCCCCAGGTACCTGTATAATCTGTATTGTTTATGGACGTTTGCTGCAATTCTAATAAAAGAGTATATAATTCTAAAACTAACAGATGAACAATTGGGTCAATAAAAAAATACAAGATCAGTCCAAAAGAAAGTAAAAATGAACATGAAAAGGAACAAAAAATAGGTGGAAGAAGAAGAAAGCACACAATAGAGTGGAAGATTTAAACCCAAATATATCAACAATTACACTAAATATAAACGGAATAAGTGTTCCAGTTAAAAGATAAAGATTTTCAGACTGGAAAAAACATAAAACTCAAGAATATATCTAAAACATAAAGAAACATGGTTCAAAGTAAAAGGATGAAAAAGATAAATCATGTAAATCTAACGCTCCACCCCCAAAGAAAACCTGCTGTAGGGGCCAGCCCCGTGGCTTAGCAGTTAAGTGCGCGTGCTCTACTACTGGCAGCCTGGGTTCAGATCCTGGGCGC